TTAAAAAAAATCAGAACCAAGGGTGCCATGTTGGATCCATCATGCACAAGTTCCTTGGAGTAAGGGCAGCTTCAACTAACTCCGCTACACCCCTCTGCACAGATTGTGGCGGATCCATGCCATTCTCCTCCTATACAAGTAGAAGCAAAAACACCACAATGTCACAATGTAGGCATTTTAAATAGATATTAAGTAAATATTAACTTATCTAAAGCCTGTAATTTCAGTCATACAGATATGTGGGGGCATATAATTCATACTGAACTACACAGGAGATAGCAACTGCGCCAATTTTATTGAATCAGGAAAGTGGTAGTACCATTACTAGGTGAGGAATTTTGAAAATTTATATAAATAGCACAAAAAAGGGAAGGGAAAAAAAGTGAATACCTCTTCAGAGATGTACTGTGGGGCTATTCCATTGATCCGTCCAATGACATTCTCAACATTTATAGTGACTTTTTGTTTGAAGTCCACGGGGTTCAGACTACCTGCTCCTACAACAGGGGCCAGAGGCATCCCAAGAGGTCTTCTCCAAGACCAAGATAACAGCTCATCTCGAAAAAACATAGCCAGATGATACCATAAGTGCTGGCTTTGCTGCAGATTGGAATTTAAGTGAAGCCATCAGCATTGAGGAATTAAACAAAGTAGAAAATAAGATGTATATTAGAAGTAAATCTTACCTTAGGAGAGACCACAGCCTGCGCAGCCGCACACATGGCAGAAACAACTAAACCTTCTACTCCAAAATGAGAGAAAAATGCTTGCAAATTTCTAGTCAAGCGGAAGGGCACCGGTTCATTAAATTCAATCATTCCATTTGAATCATATGCAGGATGGAAATCAGTCTGGAAAATTTTTCCAGTGTTTTTAGCAAATAATATCTTGTTTGGAGACCTTCCACCAATTTGTAGCATGAAAGACATAAAACTAGAAAGAGCCAACTGGATAGCAAACTGCTTTTTGAAAGCCCACATGTGATTGCCACTCAATAGAGTTTTGTACATATACTGTGAGAAGATGCTGTCCGTGACAAAACTTTTTGTTATCTCATTGTATGCTTGAAGACGGAGATCAACAACAGCATCTGGTGAAATCTGACCAGATATTGCTTGGTTGAGTTGCTCCTTGAAAAATGTGATTGGTAAATCCGCTTCCCGGTCATTTCTAGCACAATGGTTCTCATAAACCTCAAGGAAAGTGCTGTACATCAGATCATCCTCTACCATGCGAACCTATTACATGAATTCACATGGAGTTATTCCAGAGGAAAAGCTCAATACAATTTCAGTGAACAATGCAATTTGCATCACTACCGCAATTATATTACAACTGAATAAAACATGGCTGCCTCAAAAAGTGGCTTCCCTATTTCTGCTAATAGAGCAAAAACCGGACAATGTAACACTATTTTATGAGGTAAAGATGGGTTTAGTAATTACCTGAGACCACACGGGTATAATAATAGGAGTGTGAATGCAGATGTGCCGCCGTCGTGATTCCTTGTGCTTGTCAAACATCCGATTCATCACACGGAAAAGCTGTAAAATCCGTTCATCACTTCTCGCATTTGGTGTTAAAGATGTCTGAACAATAAAATGGCGCTGAGAACCATCTGATCCAATCAGAGTCAGACGGCGGAAGCTGCTTCCATGTCTCCGCACTATTGGAATATCAGCTCCCACCCTGTCTAACTTCACAGTATGATCTGGCGCAACTTCCTAAATGAAAGACAAAATCAGGGTGAAGCACCATAATATCTGGTAAAGCAGAAACAGAAGAAAAGGGAAACCGAGAAACAAGTCCCGTTGAACCATGGATACATTTTGTCATCTATATAACTAAAGCCTTATGAATACATTTTGCACCTGGAAATTCATGTCCCAGTTTTGGTATGGGCTTTTATTGCATCCTTTTGACTTTACATTCTACTTGCATTCGGAAAGGAATGGACTAAGATACTTGCCTGATCGGTAAAATATTGCCCTGGAACTTCCACATCAACAACATGAAAATCTCTCAACACCCTACTTTCATCTTCCAACTTCAGCACAGCTGGAAAGCGGTCCTCCACGTTGCTTTGCAGGACATTTTTCCAATGCTTCAGTCTTTCAGTAAGTTCAGAAAGAGTTGCTGGAAATGTTGCAGTACTGTCAGGATCGAGATCACGTTCAAAATCCTGCTTGTATTCTCTTACAAATTCAACATGTTTGTTCACTGCATCTGCTGAGAAACATGCTCTACACACACCAGAAAGCTCCTTCTTCAGAGACTGAGGAACTTCAGCTGTAGTTGCAGTAGGGTACTTGTAGCAACGGTGAAGTAGAGCATTAACAACTGCCAACAGTCTCTCCTCTGGCAAAGTGACGAATCTGGATCCGATCTCAGTGAGCAAGATCTGAGATATTTTTTCAGAAGACGCATCAGCAAATCTACTTACACTTGAATGACAAAATAAATTTAAAATTGATAGGGTATCCATTTTGAAAAATCAAAATATTTATTCGTACTACACAAGTTGGTGTTTTTCTTATGTAATACGAGTACTTATTAAGCTTCCAAGAATCAAACCAATAATTTGGTAATTTCTTTTACGCCAAAATTACAAAAGCAGACAAAAGATAAGTCACGACTTCGAGCCCCTCCAAATGCTTCATTTTTTTTAATTTTCATTCTCTCCATAATGTCCAAGGTACACAGTATGAAAACCAGAATTTATTTTTCTTTCAGATGGTATCAATGAAAAGGTGCACAAGTTAAAAGGTTCTGAGAAAACGTAATATCCAATCCTTTTCCTTATCGAATAGCATCCTTCTACAGTATTAATGTTTCACAGCTGTATTAACTGAAAAATGGACGGGTTATCTCATCTAACCAAACTTTTATTTGTGAAAAATAAGCAAGACCAGTCACCTCAAGTTCACTGGCAAGATTAGAATGTTTGCTGCGTAAAGTTTCCATTATATCTTTGGCTGCATCAAAAGCACTGGCAGCAGATGCAACCAGAGTCAGAGCACTATTACGGCGCAATGCAGCTTGACCACCATCACCGCCTGATGAACTCTGATGTAAGGACTGGTCATTACCGGAGGGCATACTATTGTCTGGCCTTTCAGGTTCCTGAATTTGAGAACTACTGCCATCATGTGACCCAACACCTCCACCGGACTGAGCTCCCTGGGGAATATGATTGTCAGCAGCTGATGAACCCCCACTCTGGCCAGCCATTCTAGCATTCCCATCAACAAGGCCCATAGATCCAGCTGCACTGGCACCAGCAACATTTTGCTGCATTCTCTGCTGTGCCATTGCCATTCTACCATATTCAGACTTATTTGCAACATCACGGCGCTCAAGCAAATATGTTCGCAACCAGTAATACAAAGCCTACAATTACATGCAAGATGGCATCAGCTCTGAAGGTCACTGAGAATATCAAACACACAAAACACCGACAATCACAACATTACCTGTGGATAGACGGTAGCAACTTTTAATAGCACAAGCTTGCAATGTGGAGCTTCCGTCCTCTGCAAGGAAAGTAATAACTGTGGAATCCAAGAAAGCCAAACCCAGTGGGGTATCTGTTCCAGGTACTTATCAAATGCCCTCCCTACGGGTTCATTTGGAGTATCGAAACTGAGAAGATATAGAACCCGTGCAAGGTGGCTTCTGGAATTAGGAATACCAAATTTGATGCCTTGTAAAAAGCAGCTAACTGCATACTCTAACCAAATCTCTTCGTGTGTTTCCTTATAAGCCTGCCACGGGTCAAAATATAGCATCTTAAGGAATTCTTTTTTTTTTTTTTAAACAAAAAAAATTCCCGCAATAAGCAAATACATAGGGGCAGCCCGGTGCACTAAGCTCCTGCTATGCGCGGGGTCCGGGGAAGGGCCGGACCACAAGGGTCTATCGTACGCAGCCTTACCNATTCTTGAACTTCAACAAGTTGTTGAAATTGCTGTAGAAGGGGAATTCTGGCATGAATGGACATTTCAGGTAACTGCCACCACTGTTCCAAAGCAAGATCAACACCTTTTCCGACAATGTTTTCAGCCTCTGCAACGCCATTTGTACTCTTCTCATGGAGGGAAAAATATGCCTGAATAATACGAAGTTTTGGTGTCTCCTCCACTTGAGCCTTAGGGATAACATGGTCTTTCAAATATGCCCAATCAGGCTGTTTCCACAGACTATCAAGCAATATCTCATAATTCTCAACCATCTTACCAAAGTCAACCAACACATCCCATTGACTGAGTTGGCTAGCACAACTTAGCCACTGCTCCTCCCAGAGACACATCTCAGCTTTTGGTACCGTATTGTTATAAGTGCCTTGGGTTGCTTTAACCATGGCCTGGTAGAAGAGACTTTGAGCCCGCTGCCAATAGCCATGCTGAACCAGTGAAAGTCCAGCCCGTGTCTCAGCAGTAATTGACCTTTTCTTCCACAATCCACACCTCATATCTTCTTCATTGAGTAATCGGTAAAGCTCAGCCAGAGACTCCGAGCATTTAGTATCATTCAAAAAAAGCATAACATGACTTTCCAGCAGGGCTAGCGCAATGTGCCATGCATTGTAAGTCTTTCCAATGTACTTGATTAATTCACTAGGCATTCTAGGCTGAGGATGACTTAGCTGAAGTCCTTCCAGAAGAGCTTGCACGACATTTGGCCGATGGGTTGCCTGCTTCTTATGATAGTCCTTTGATAACAGAGTTATCATTGGCTTTGCAAGGGCTACCTGTTCTTCCTTGTGCAAAGTCACCCATACAATAGGAAACACCAAAACCCAGAGGTGATATGCAACGTTTGCATCTGTGTGTGCCAGTTCTCGCAGTGGAATGACAAGATCAGCAACCTTAAACAAAGGAGAAATCTTAAATGCAACAAACTCTTAAAGACAAAAAGTGTAATGCAGACCATCAATATGTGTTAAAATTGCCGTAACATAAATCCCACAAGGATGGCTAGAATCAACCTTTCAAATATGCAAGAGGAGCCACATAACCATATTAGAACAAATGACCCAGTCCGTTAAGTGTATATAACTAAAGATGCATAAACAAATCTAAAAGGAAATTCTGCCCAACAATAGGAGAGCAGAGTTTCAAAAGAAATGCGGGTAGAAAAAAGATCACTATGCAGTTGCAGAACAACCGAAATTTGACCTAAAAGGAGTTATCTATAAATAAAAAAATAAACAATAAACAAGGACCTGAGACAAATAATCATGATCATGAGTGCTTACACCAGTGACAGAGGCTCAGAGGTATCTGTCTCATGGAAGACTCAAGACAAATGTTTGTAAGCTAAACGAAAATGCCATTACCTGGAGCTTGCTCATTTCATTCAAAAACTCTGTATGTTTTGCCACAAAACTATCAAAGGTTAGAGGAGTCTCTTCCGAACCTTCTGGAACATCCAAGACCATTGGTTGTGGCCCTGTAGAATCACCAACAGAACCTGACACCACAAGTGGAGGCACCTTGGCAGAATTTGGAGCCAGCGTTATAGACTTATTCTCAACCAATATAGCCAAAAGAAGATCAAGCCCTTGCTTTAGCCAAAATACATCACTCAGAGCCTCCCAGTCTTGAATTTGGATGATGTACTGCAATCTTGTGAACAATGTTCTCCCAAGGGATTCATGATAAAGAGAGAAAAACCTCATTCTCATTTCAGGATCTTTTGCCCGTAAACCAAGCAAATATTGCCTCTCTACCTTCTGGAAAACTTCTTGACGCAGAGAAAGAGCATACCTGGAAATCAACAAGGTCGTTCCATCCCATGCCCATGTTTAAAGCAAGCTGAATTCCCCCTCAAATGAAAAATAAATGAGCAAAAGTAAAAACGAAGGGTTGCTTACTTGTTTGAATCTGCACAAAGACCATAGAGAAGCTCAAGATACTTTTTGTCCCACTCTTCTGCAGGACTAGGGGTGAAGTTCTGTTTATCCACTTGTGAAAGCCTCTGGGGGAAAGAAACAACATCTTTTGGAGAAAGAAAGGTACTAGATGCAATAGCAACTCCAGGTTTAGTCATGTCCACTTCAATCCATCCCTTTATTACATCTAGTATGCTAAGCAACACAGAAGGGTCAGTACCCTTCTCAGACAGCAGGGAATTGAGTATTTGTGTTACAGATCGTTTACAATCTGGGATGGCCATGACCCTTTCATTAATAAGGCCCAACACAGATTTCAGGTTGGTAATGACAACTCCGACATCAGCACCTTGACGAGAAGATGTGACAGCAGAATCAGGATCTGATCTCTGACCCTGTAAATGGGAGTATACCATGACTTGTGGTCAATAAAATGCACTACATTAAAAGAATCCTGCCTCACGTACAGTTAAGAGAAGAATTGGGCAAACTCAAACTCAAGAAAAATGCATAAAATCAGCTCTAAGGTATACCAAAAGACACTCCAGAATCATTAAGGGTTTGAGTTATCCATTTAAGTGCGGAACAAGACCTGAATTGGGATAATATTCATAGATCGCTTACTCTTTGTATACGTTATGGAGTCTCGACTCCGTGTTGAAAGCTATTTCTCGTATTTTGACTTCTTTCAAAGAGCAATGAATGCTCTTGAAAATGGTTTTATCAAATAATACATCCCATACTCTCACACTTGAATCAGCAGAAACTAAATGATAACAAATACAGCAATCTGAAACATAATGTAATACCTGCCTCACATGGGATCCAATGGATGACCCCATGTCTCGAGCCAGGCGCTGAAGAAGACGGACCAGATTTGCTGGTTCAATAAAGTTTTTGTGCACCTCTGCCAAGGTTTTGATTACATAAAGCACAAAGCTGACCATGCTACCTGAATTATCTTCTCCAGAAGTCTGAGGAGCTGCAACAGCAGCAAGGTGCTTCTGTATAAGCTCTTCTACCTTTTGATACAACATCTTCACATCTTGTGTTGTACTAGCTGCTTCAGGAGGAAAAGCAAGGGAAACCATTTTCAAGAGGGAGCAAAGTGACTTCCCAGCATCAAGCACTTTGTATTTGAAGCACGGTTCTAGAATCTGTAAAAAAAAAAAAGTATATCTGAGATATGATGCTCTGATTGGAAGTGGGGTCATAGGCATGAAGTAAATGTTTTAGCCTAGGGACATACCTGAGATATCTGGTTGATATTGTTGCGGATGAACAGATGAGGTTGCTTCTCCAATACCTTGTTCATCACATCTAGGCCCTGGGCCAGTGCTGTGGTAGGGTCCTTTGACTGAGAAGGTGGAGCATTGCTGAGCAGCTTCTCCAAATAATTAAATTTGACATTAGCATTTGGCCACACCTCCAAGGCTTGTGATAACAGATCCAAAGCTTGTTTGTACATCAAACTTGCTTCCTTATCTTTGGGCTCTATTACTAATGCTACCTAATGCCAGACCTCAACAAGTTAACACCCAAGAATGAGGAAACATTAAATCATCTAGCAAAGCAAACTGGTAATGTAAAATGGAAACAATAAACTGAAAAAGATAACACCTTATCCTCAACATATTGAAAAGAAAACAGAAGCATGACTCCCGCTTGCTTAAAATGATTCAGCTACATCGCAGAACCCCCCACCCACCCNCCGAGTTCTTTCGAGATGAGTGAATAAAGGAAGTGCAGACAGAACAGAACTGCTTCAACGACTTGGAAAAGAAGCATCTCAGGAAACTAAGTTTGAAGACCCACATAAGCATTTACCAAATTTAAGTTGTACGCCAACAAGAGCAAATCACAGGCAAACAAAAATAGGATAAGATAGAATGCCCTGTCTTATTTTAAGAAGTAGATACAACAGAAGCAGTGGACACACACAGGATAAAATAGAAAGAATTATGCTCCAGCCTAGAGTTTCAAAAAATAATTCAGGAGAAAGCCATACTCTGATAAGAAAATTAATAATCATTTCCTCCATAGCTGCATTTGGCTTAAACTCTTCATCTGGTTGCCCACCAGATCCAGGAGTTTCAATATTAGAAATTGAAGAAGCACCACCAGGCGACATAACACAAAGGGATTGAAGACCAGGTTCAACCTTCACGCGCTTACCAGGATCTTCTGAGAATGAAGATCCATCCATTGGATGCTTAAGATCAACACTACCAGCAGAAGCATGACTCAGTCCATCAGCATTTTGACCAGTCCCATCATTAGCAGGTACTATTTTCATTTCGCTTTGTCTTTGTCGTTCCCAGTTCACAACCAACCCAGCAAGTTCAATTGCAAGTCGTCTATTTTCAGCTGTAGTATTATATGGCAATCCAAGGCGACTCAGAGAGTTCACCATCTGAGGTACAAACTGTGCTCTACAACTGTAGAATAGATATGAATGGCGAACTATGAGCTGGAAAATGTGGATGAGATTAGGGATAGAATGACCCTCCTCAACAAGAATCTTTTTAGTGTAACGTATCCAGATAGGCATACGGGAATCACCAAGAGGTAACCTTCTTGGAAGTGCTGGCATGAGTATATCAAGTGCTTGCTTAACCAACATTTTATTCTCCGGCTGGCAAGTCCTGAGGAGAGCGACAAATACCTGCAGCAACTAATTCCCCATAAGATTAGATTGCACAAAACGAATATCACGGCACAATATAGTTCAGAGACAAAATTTAAGATGTATGAACCAAATTGGAGGACTAAAGGAAAAGATCAAATCAGGAGCGAAATACGTTACATCAAACATTAATAATAAAAACCGCACGTTTTTTCATGATCCTCGTAATGAGGTAAAGTAGAAATGACTAAAGGGCATGATCAATAAGGAGCAAAATATGCTGCATCAACCATCAATAATCAAAACCACGAGTTAATCCATGATTCTCAATGAGATAAAGTAGAAAAGTAATAGGCATCACAAACTCATGCAAACACAACCTAGCGTATTCTATAAACACTTACAAACATTAGCTCAAGATTTTTTATCCTATTTGTAAGCATAAAAGATATAAAAATCGCCAAATAAGCATTAAAAGAGGAGACCTGCAAACTACTGCATACATGGACAACAAACCTGTAATCAAAGTTAGCCTCATTACAAACAGCATTATAGTGGTAGGAGGCAATGGGATATAAGAGATATCTCCCAAACAGGAAAAAAACACATAAGTACTAATGCTTGGTTTATATATTAGTAGCAGAAACAGACAGAACAGAGAAAATACCAAAAACCTATCTACACTAATGCAAGTAGCCTTTGGAAAAAATCCACGAGAAGGTTAGAGCATAGTTCAAGAAAGACAACATAGAAACATGTCACTGATAAGAGTGCATCAATGAAATACTATGCCATTGATTGATGTAGCTAACAACAATGAGGTGATTGAATACGATGTGCGTGTTTAAGCATTATATATATTTATGTTGATACGCACTAACAAATAAAATTTCAGGTGAGATAAGTCGAATTTATCTGGGGGAGTGCTTTTTAACTTATAATAAATAGAACTTTACACCAGTGACATATTGCATGCAGATGGCAACGTGGAACCACCACAAATAGTGGTACCTGAAGTATAATTTTCTCTGGAGCTTGATAAGCCTCCAAGAAATGGCAGACATTAACAAATGCCCACTGTTTACTAGCACTATCTTCACGTTTAAGATGATTCCAACCAAACTTTATAAGTTCCTTCCGATGATGAACAAGGTCCGTCTGCAGATACTTGAGAAGGAGAGTAGCGAGTTGCAAAAGCTCTATCCTCAAAGGCTCATCATAATCAGCAGAGACCTACAAAGATAAATCAGGAAAGAAAATGAAATATACCCAAAATCAGCATAAAATTATCAGTAAAAGAAAATGAAGGATATACGAACATAAAGAGATGCAATCATTTACCTCTTCAGGAGGGTCAAGAAGCTTGTCAACAATAGTCTTAATTATAGCAGAGTCAACTACATCCCAAGTCTGACCATTCTGAAATGCATGAGCAAGCATTGGAAGAATAAGCATTTGCATTACAACCACCAAATGATCAAGACCAAGTTGTCTCGATTGGAAAAGGTTCAAAAAATGCAGGAGCAGGGTTCTCTTCATGTTGGATGGATATCCTTCAGCAACCTTAATGGCAAGCCACAATGAGTTATCAAAACAAACACTTCCATCTAGAGAAAAGAACTTGATAGACAGATAGCAGCATTACAAACATACCTCAATGATATAAAACTCCTTCAAGAAGGTAAAGTCTATACGAGTACGAAAGAGGAAGATGGAAAGGATATCAAACAGAACATTGATTTCAGTTTTATCATGTCGCAAATAATTCAGGAAGCATTTGACAAGCCATTTGCTCTCTTTGACCTGCAAATTTTTATCCCATAATTTAGCAGGAAACTCATGTGATAAACAAAAATATAAATAAAACAATGGCCTGAATATATGCCAAAACAGAAGCACAATTAGGAGAACTTGGCAATATAATGAAAAAAAAAAACAATAGTTTTGGAACCTCAGAAATAATGCAATTATCTGCCAGCAATAAGAAAAAAATTTCTTGACTATTTAAGTGGCATGACAATAAAAGGTAAATCATCCTCCTTTCCCCGATAGATTGAGGAAACTAATTATTATTTCAACAAAAACAGCATGAGAAGGAACAAAATGGGTAAAAACGGCCAAAGTCGCACACAAAGATCTCAAATATCAAAAGCAGAATTCACAGAGCTAGGTTTCGATTCTATGAAGCAACCAATGAGATAAAGTTTTTCATGCATATTGAACAAGCACTTCGGAAAGAAACAATTATCCAGGGATGATTATGTAATGAAGACTACAAATACCAGTTTGCACGAAAATGCAACACAACTTGCCTGCACTAAGTTTAATTCCTGTTCATTTTGCAGACGGGAGATTCTTGCTGGTGACTTCCACATCAGTACCAGCGTATCAAAGACAACACGATTGTTCTGTAACCAGTTAGGCATCAACTTGACCAAAGTTTTCACCAAGGCAAGACCCTGGAAATAAGCATCCTGAGGTGCCACATTGGTTGAAACTGAAGGGACAGAAGCCTCGGCTTGAGCAGCAGCAAGGCCTTCATCACCAGTTGAAGTGCTTGGCCGACTCAAAGATTCTTGTCCAGCAGGTGCATCAGATTTGGTAATAAATTCAGGAAAGGCACTTGCAATTATCTTTTCTGGTGATTTTGCAAGTTCTTCTCTTAGAGGTTGTCCAACATCTGACCTTATGATGTACATAAACCTGCAAATTTATGAACCATATCAGAAAACCATGGAAGCATATCAGGAAACAGCCTCTCTACCCCCTCTGGGGTAGGGGTAAGTTCTGCGTACACTCTACCCTCCCCAGACCCCACTGGTGGTATTTTAATGGGTTGTATCAGAAAACCATGGAAGCAAAAAATCTGCATAACTGCTCATAATGGAACCATGAGAATGCAATTTCAACAAGTATTCTACTTACCGCCTGAAGTATTTAGGTTGACATAATCGAGCAAGAAAGTAATCAACAGCAGCAGTTGGATACCGATTCAGGAACTTGGTCAATGGCAGCCTATACGGACTGTTAATCTCACTGTAAAACTGCCCAGGTGGAAGGGCTGCTTCCAAATCTATAGTCAATGTCACAAGCTCATCCAGAAACTTCCCAGCTGCAGAGGGAAGCAGGTGGAAGAGTTCGATAATAGCTGCATCCATAAGGAGAAATACATGTCAAAAACAAGAAGTATATTCACTCAGCCCATGTGATTATTAGGAGCAAAGCTGTATCCTACCAGCAGCTATTTTTGGTTCCTCGCCAGCCTTCCACGATTTCTGGCACTGTGCTAGCTTTTCAGGTTCCAACCATTTCCTAAGATGCTCCAGTAACTTGCCACCTAAGGTCACATTAAACCAATTGGACAGAAGTTCAAGCAGGCGGGCCAAACCTTGAAGAAGAGGCATGCTGAGATTTTTAGTGTGGGCCAAGTTAACCAATATAGGTCTAAGACTACTTTGTAGAAGTTCTTTTGGCATCCTTTGCTGTTGTATGACCTACATAACAACGATACCATGAAGGAAAGACCAAATTAGAACTAATGAAGAAATGAATTGACCGAACAGTTATATCATTCAACAGACGAAAAAAAGCATCCTGCTACGCATGTGTCCATTATCCATATCATTCAGATGGCTTAGGGAGTAAATGATGAGAACCTAATGTTAAAACATGCTCGAAAATGCCTTCAAATACAACATTCAATGTTCTATGCGTGCACAAAAATTGATCCTCTTGCAACCCTAATTTCATCGATTTTTTGTCAATTTGTATTTATAGTCCTGCAAACTAAATACTATAACAAGTTATTTTTTCTCCCAACGTCACCAGTAAAGAAATGTGCAAGGGAACGTAACTGTAACCAAATGACATTTCTAAGCAGATCCAGTAATAAGCCTTAAGCATGGAAGAATAGAACATCAGTAAGTGATGATGGAATAAAAAGAGACCCTGATTTCAAGCTAAAACCAACCTGTCGCAACCCTTCCTTTGCAACAGCTACAATTTCTGAATTTCTGCTTGTCAGAGACTTGAAGAACATTGAAATAATTTTTGAACGCAATTCAGATTGATTTTGGGTTTTAAAGTCGGCCCACGCCATAGCAGTGCAGAGTAATTCAATGCAGGCTGTGCGCAGTTTGTTTAACGAGGTTGCTACCTTAGGATTCATAAATTTCATAACCCATACTGTTTCATCAGCCTCAGCTATTTGCAATGCTTCTTGCAGGAAATTGATCAGCTCCTGAGTCAACTTTAGAAGTGGAGGTCTCAAGGCCAAGCAAAAGTTCAAAGCTGTAACAGTCCCCACCTGAAGATACAAGATGATTAGTTCAGCAAGCAAGAAAATGATTATAACAACTCTACCAACAAACCTCACCTGTTGATCAACAGTCTTTGACCGTAATGGACGTAGTATAAGAGGCTGAAGCAAAGGTTGGTATAAGGGTTCAAGCAACTCAGAAACCTCACTACCAGTCCTGCTTGCCAAAAGTGCTAAACAAGACTGCACAATCTTCCTCACATTAATAGACACATTAGGATTAAACAACTCTGATGCGAAGTATTCAACAACTCCTTGGAAGCTTTGCCTCCGTGCTTCACTATTTGCTTCATCAACATTATTCACCACACGAAGAACTTGTGTAAGCACCTGGCTGGTCTCGTCTTGCTCTTTAGTGGCATAAACAGGAAGTCTCTTGAGGAC